TTCTATGTCTCTGGATCTATTTTGTTCCTTAGTCTGTTTTGTTTATTAGATTCCACATATGAGTGAGATTATGTAAAACTGAATCAGGAAGAATCAGAAAACCTGAGTAGGCTAATAACAACTGAGGAAATCGAAGCAGTAATAAAAAAAACTCCCAGCAAACAACAGTCCTGGTCCATACAGCTTCACAGGGGAGCCTTCTAATTCTTTAAGTTGTACGGTTAGATAGTTCACTAAAAATTTTTCTTGCATTTTGTGGTAGGCCTTCAGTGCTATGAACTTCCCTCTTAGGACTGCTTTTGCTGTGTCCCATAGATTTGGGGTTGTTGTGTGTTCATTTTCATTTGTTTCCAGGAAGTTCTTGATTTCTTTCTTGATTTTATTGGTAACCTATTCATTCTTTAATAACATGTTACTTAGCTTCCATGTGTTTGAATGTTTTGAGTGTTTTTACTGTAGTTGATTTCTAATTTCATGTCCTTGTGATCTGAGATGCTTGATATGATTTCAGTCTTCGTAGAGACTGGTTTTGTGTCCTAACGTGGTCTGTCTTTGAGAATGACCCATGTGCACTTGAGAGGAATGTATATTCTGCAGCTTTGGGGTGAAATGTTCTATAAATATCACTTAAATCCATCTGATCTAGTGTGCCATTTAGTTACTGTTTCTGTGTTGACTTTTTGTCTGGAAGATCTATCCAGTGAAGTCAGTGGGATGTTAAAGTCCCCGAGTATGACTATATTGCTGTCATTCTCTCCCCTATGGTTATTATTGATAGGTCCTTATTTATTGCCATTTTAATTATTTGTGCCTATGTTTCTCTATTTTATTATTACAGCAGTCCCTTCAACATTTCCTGCAGTGCTGGTTTGGTGGTGATAAACTCCTTTAACCTTTTTTTGTCAGGGGTACTCTTTATTTCACCATCTATTTTGAATGATAGCCTTGCTGGATAAGTAGAATAGTCTTGGTTTCAGATCCTCATTTTACATTACCTTGAATACTATATGCCATTCCCTTCTGGCCTGTAGAGTTTCTAATGAGAAATCAGCTGACCGCCTTATGGGAGCTCCTTTGTAGGTAACATTGCTTTTCTCTTGCTGCCTTTAAGATTCTCTCTTTGTCTTGAATTTTTGGCATTTTAATTATGATATGTCTGGGCGTCGGCCTCTTTGGGTTCTTCTTGCTTGGGACTCTGTGCCTCCTGAACTTGAATGACTTTTTCTATGAGCAGGTTAGGGAAGTTTTCTGCCATTATTTCTTCAAACAGGCTGTCTAACCCTTGCTTACTTTCGACCTCCTCTGATGTGAATATTGTTACATTTCATGTTGTCCCACAGCTCCCTTACACTGTCGTCCTGTTTTTCAACTGTTTTTTCTTTTTGGTTTTCTGATTGATTTTTTTTTTACTCTTCTAATCCACTGATCCAGTCCTCAGCTTCCTCTAATCTGCTGTTTATTTCTTCCAATGTATTCTTTAATTCTGCTATGTCATTCTTAATTTCCTTCATAGTTTCTATATCTTTTTTCATGCTGGTGAGCATTTCTGATCAGTATTCTGAACTCTATATCTGATAGATTGCTTATCTCCATTTCATTTAGCTCTTTTCCTGGAGACTTCTCTTGTTCTTTCATTTGGGGCTTGTTTTTTGCCTCCCCATTTTGGCTGCCTACTTGGGTTTATTTCTATGTATTAGGTAGATCTGCTAGGACTCCCAGTCTTTGGATGGTCTCTGGTGCTGGCCAATATCAGACGCTGTTTGTGACTGGCCTTGAGTACCCTGTTGGGAGCTATCAACAACCCACGACTTGAGGTCCCCTCTGTTGTGGCTGGGTGTGTTTGGACAGGACCAAGATGCACACCAAAGTCTGCTTTTCCAAGGCCCGGGTCCAGAAACAGATGAGGTCTGCCTCTGCCTGCAGGCTAATTAATATGATTCTCTTAATGAGCCTTAGGCTGTAGGAACTCCACAGGGTGTGGTGGGAGATTTTCAGTGGGTGGTGCAATTGCTTCCCCCTCAGGCAAAAGCTGCTTGGAAGGTGAATGTCTGCCTCTGCAGTCTGGGGGAATAACTGGGTATAGGAATCCAGAGGGGTGCCCCCTGAGCTCTATCTCCAGAGCCCACAACTCTAGATTCTCCTTACACAGCTCCAGTCCACTCTGCCCTCCCTCTGCTGGAGCCCAAGGTGAGTGGCTGTACACGAAACTTTGTGTGTTGACTCTTTAAGAGGGTGCCTGCATTTTCCAGCCGCCTCTCCCTGGCAGACAGAAACCCTGCTGCTTTTCACAGCCAGGTGTTATGTGGGCACCTTTCTCAGTTCTGGTGCTCTTGGCTGGGAAGCCCAGCCTGGGGTTTAGGCCCCAGAGTCCTCAGTGGGAACCCCCACAGCTGAGATCTCCCTGCTGACCTTCAGCTGCTGCCTGTGGGAGCCCAGCCAGCCCTCTCATACCTCTGCACTTTCTGCCAGTCTCAATGGGGTCTCCACTTTTCCTCCTTGGTTATGAGGGTGCTCCCCAGCTCGTCTTCAGTTGCCGTTGATTATTCAAGATTGTTTTTCTATATTTTAGTTGTAATTCCAGTTTGGTCCTAGGAGAGTGTCAGTGTAGCTTCTACTCAGTCCGCTGCCATCTTGAATCCCAAACTCCTGCCATTTTTAATTAAAGTAGTATTTCCACAACTGGAACTCATCTTATATTTAAGAAGGTCATCTTTCTTCCTCAAATTCATTTCAGAGCATTTGGCTGCTATTCCAATTAATCAGATATGCTTAATCTGAGTCTCAGCAGTTAGCAGTCTATTGAAATTTTATCTGCTGTTATTTTAGTGAACTAGTAAAAGGGTTTCACACCATTTATTCATTTTAATGCCTCTTCATGCACTTCATAATTATTTGTAAGTGAAGCTCTTTGGATATTCTAAAAAATAACTTTAATATGAAGTATCAAAACAATACAGTAATGGTGATACAGTATTCCCCCCTTATCGCTGCCACACCCCCATGGTTAGTACTGGAACACATATACATACATCTAATGTTTTTTAATACATACATACATGCCTTTTTACTTATGGGAAGCACTTTATGGCTTCTCTGCATTCAAATTGCCAGCATCACAACTGTTGTGGTACGGGCCCATTATTAAGTAAAATAAGGGTTACTTGGACACAAGCACTGTGATACCAGGAGCAATTGATCTGATAACCAAGATCCTGCAAAGTGACTAACCGGCGAGAGTGTCATATATGCGTCGTGAATACACAGGACAAGGGGATGATTCACGTTCTGGGCAGGACATCAAGACATCTCGAGATTTTATCACACTACTAAGAATGGCATGCAATTTAAAACATGAATTATAATCTCTGGAATTGTTTATTTAATATTTTGAGACCGCAGTTGACTGCAGGTAACTGAAAGTACAGAGAATGAAACTTTGTGGGTAAGGGGGGACTGTATATTCTTGCTTCTAGATAGTCCACTAGGCAAACCATTCATAATATAAATCTAATGCATTTTCTTAAAAAAATTTTTTTAGAAAACAAAACCCTTGCTATTTTTCACAAAAATCGCTAGTGATTGCCAAGTTACTCTTTGGTATGGTGGTTTTTCTAGTTATGAACATCAAGCTGCTTTTAGTATTTCCATTTACCATTTATCTTGACTTTATTCATCTCTTTGCTGTATTCATCTCCTTGCTATAAAAACCTTTTGAACTTTAATATTAAACCTGAATACAAGTAAAATCACAAAAATTTCTATTGTATTTTCAGCCATCTCTGTACCTTTCAACACCTTCAAGTCCTTCAAAACCAAATGTGGCTGCTTTTTTAACTCCATTAGACATCAAAGCTAAATTAGAAGCAGATGATGGGAAAAAAAATTCCCTGGATGAACTTAAAGCTGAAATGATTGAACTGCTGTGCATTGTGGAAGCACTGAAAAAGGATCATGGGTAAGTAGTCCTTGTTTGCTTCTCTGGTTACTACTTGACACTTGTGTAAAGAATTCTTCCAAATCATTTGAAGTAAAGATGTAGTCTTCCAAATTACTTGTATGAACTATGTTTTCAAAGAAATTTCCATTAATAGTGCTTGTCTCCACTTGGCAAAAAACTTGAATTAGAAAACTTGTTTTAGTAGCCCACTTATAGAAAAGATACAGGCACACCTATAATTTAAGACTAGAAGTTTTCTGGTCAAACACGGGTTAATTGGTCTTAAAAAAAAATCTAAAAACCATTTGTTATATGTTGGATCTGGGGTGTATCTTTTTATATGTTTATTTCTTAGAGGAGTTTGATTGTTCTTTCTGCTAGGGTCAAGCTGCATATTCATAAAACCAATAGGTTGGGATAGGTGGTCTCTAAGACCCATCTGTTACCTAAGAAAGTTTTTGATAATAGTATGTGGTGATACATACCCTAAGTGAAAGTTATGGACATTTTTTGCAAAAGCCAGTAGTTAAAACAGCTCAAAGATCTACTGAACTGAGGGTGGTGAGGGTTCAGGTGCTCTTTTCCTTTCTCACCCTTTTCCTTTCTCACCGTCTCCTGTAGCCTCTACAAGTATTTCATGGGATGTGGAATCTGGTGTAAAAGTCACTACCAGAAACCATGTTACCTCTGAGCTTCAGTTTACCATTTCTCCCCCAGTACCCAGCTGGTATTTGGTTCTTTATTAAAAACAGTATTGAGATGAATAATATGTATTTATAGTTTGCAGAGCACTTTTATAAATGTCTCTTGGATACATGTAAAAAATTTATCTTAAGCAACTACTTAAATAGCATCTCAGGCATATGTATATCCTGTATATAGACAGGGTGTTTGTAATTTGATACATGATGGCTCTTTCTTGACTCCTCTAGTTTCTCTGAGTCCAGCACATTTTTTTCACAGATTCTGCAGTATGCATGTTATAAACTATAAGTTCTTTCATCTAGCAAATATTTACTGAGCACCACCCATGTACCCGAGAACTCTCCTGATTTGTTGATTTTGACATTTTACATTTCTGATACCAAGTGTGCTTAATGAACTAATAATTACATATACAATTTGCCTGTTGGTGCTCATAAATTTGCTGAAGGATGAATAAAATATTTATGACTTACATATATTTTAAAACATGAGATATTTTAGAAGTCTTTATTTCCTCTGGAAAAATGAAACAGATGGCACTAAAGTGTGTCACAGGAGAGAGTGTATATATAGGTATATGTATATCCATATAGATATGTGTATATTGATACAGAGAAATACTATATAGTGTGTGGCGATAAAAATAAATGAATTATGGCTACATGTGTCAACATGAATTAATCTAAAAACCGTTGGGGGTGGGAAAAGTAACTTAGAGACATACATACAGTATTATTTTATTTACATAAAGTTGAAAAGCATACAACAGCAAACAGTATATTGTTTCATGATATATTTGTGTATGTGGTAGAATTAGAAAGAAGAAAAGGAACAATAAATACTATAAAACTTACCCTATGAAGGAGAGGGGGAAAGTGGGATTGAGAAGAGAAGGTCACTTTTGGGCATCCAAGATACTGGTGTTAATATTTTATTACCTAAGCTGACTTGGAGTTCTTACGTTTTTGCTTTGTTATTATATCTTTATAGCTTTAAATACATAAATAGTCTTTATGCATTCAGTGTTAAATCCACAAATGAATAGAACAAGTCATTTAAAAATTGAGGGAGATTGACATGGAGAGGTTGGCAGAGGAATACATCAGTAATTCATTTCTTCAGTAGAAGAGTTACAAAACAAGATGTGTAATTTGATCTTATTCTTGTAGAGAGAAAACAATGTTATATAAAAAGTTTATAGTTGTAAATGTGTTTTTGAAAAGCAATAAAAATGTGAAAGTGGTACTTAATTATCAGAACAAAAAGCAAATACTTAGAATAATATAACACTATTGTAAATATAGATAAAGAGAACAGGACAAATATTCTAGGAGTAGATCCTAATTTAGATGTAAATTAAATATATAATAAACTCAGAGTAATAGAATAATTGGGCAAAGGAATCATTTTATTTAGGAAAACTTTATGGAACTAGGAAGTTAAATAGCTTAGAAGTGCATTTTATATCACATGTCAGACTAAGCTCTAGATAAATTTGAGTTAGATATTTTTAAAAGTGTACTCAGTAGAAAATTTACTCAAAATACGGTTTTGTAATCATTGAAACCACAGAAATTAGTTTTGATAGTATATAATTTAAAACTTCCTTTCTTTATCATATATTCTTTCTTCATGAGAGTTTTCACAAGTTTCTCAAACTATTTCTACAGTACTCTTGAAGGTAATTTTCCTAGTATATTGAGAGACTGAAAATGTCCACACTTTTTTATTTAAAAATTGGATCCACTGATGTGTTCATGATGTTAAGTTTTTAATTCCTCCCATTTCTTTTGTTCCCCCCAAAACCAGCCAACAAAACAAAAAACCTGGTTATTTGAATACCAAACAGCAGTCATCAGAAATAGGAAAATTTTAGCAGCATGGAAATGTCTTAAAATACTTTGTGAAAAAGACACACATAGAATATATACTGAGAGTTATGGAGGGAAAAATTGACTCTATAAAGACATAAAAGGGGCACAGAAAAATGAACACATGAGTTAAAGAAGAGGGGTGGTTGGCTGAAGTTTTTTTTATTGGTTTGGTTTGGGGATTTAATATAACATTTAATTTTTTTAAAAAGAGAGAGAAAGAGAAATGTAAAGTCCAGGTTATCTTATTAAATAAACTAATTTGCCTTTGACTGGGACATATTTTGATATTTGTTTTACCAAATTGTTTAGTCTCTTAGAGTGCCCAGCCTGGGAAATGCATGGCAACTGAATATGGGAAATTGCTTCTAAAAGCCAGTTATTATTTCTTATTTTTATCGTGAGCTCTTCTGTACTCACTTAAAAAATTTTTTTTTTTAATCTCAGGTAGTTTTGCCATGTTTTGCTGAGTATTAATTGTAATACTGAACCATTCCATCTAGAGATTTTGAAATTTTTCTCCATCACCATGGCTCTCTTCTTTTTAAAGTTTTCCCCATGTTCTGGGATATTAGGCAACACAGAGACTGGTAACATTAGTCAAACAAATGGTTTAATTGAAAGCCTCAAGAGTAACAAAGACTTTATTTTTAGGAGAGAACTGGAAAAACTACGAAAAGATTTGGAAGAAGAGAAGGCAATGAGAAGTAATCTAGAGGTAATTCATTTCTCAGCGCTGAGCTTGCAGCCGGCACAAAGCAGACGCGCATTTTCCGCCCCAGCTTGGCGATCGCTTCCACTGCAGATGGTGCTGTCCCGCTTCAGCTGGACACTCCCTGCTGCCGGTGGCCATTTAATTAATCTCCTGTTGACTCCCTGTCGCATCTGTCATGTGATCGCACCTGCTTCTTGAGCACTAACTCTCGCTGGCAGCGCATGAGGCACGTGGAGGAAACAGACGTGGTTCTTGCTTCTTAAGAGTGTCTAGTTCTAGATCTTGCGCACTGCAGGCTGCTTTCTGGAGCTAGAGTTCTCTTTTGTTCAGTTCACCTTTCCTTTTGCTGGGGGCAAAGCTGGGGGTGGGGGTGGGCGTGGTGATGGGATGGCGATAGATTTGCTGACTTGGATTTCTCACCGAGAGCTGACTTTGTAACTGTAATGTCATCATCTTCACTGTGCTGGTGACTGACAGTTTCACTTATTTTCTTTATCTTCCTTAACTTTTTCCCCATCCTCACTGACTTTGGTCTTCATTTGTCATCTTCTTTTCTGCATATGTCAGAGAAGGTGTGTCCTGCCTTTTTCAGAGACTCTTTCTGTATTTTAGCCTCCCAGTTTTTACCTCATTACATACTTACCCATTTCTTCTGTTAGCACAGTGACGGAGAGAACATGGGACTTTCTGTTAAAAACTTGACCTCCTCTTCTGGCTTATTTATACTCATGACTTCCAGTTCTAAACCATGTGTCAGGCTTAACAGTTTCTGTGCATCATCTCATCGGATACATATAACAACTTGTAAGGATTATTGTTCTCATTTTAAGGGTGAGGAAACTGCGGTTTAAAATGATTGAGTTACTGCTAGTGGAGCTGAAATTTTTAACGGAAGCATCCAGACTTCAGGACCTTTGCTTACAGGGATTAAGTTCTACAGTTTGAACTTGAGGAAGTCACTGAACCTTATTCCGTTTTAGTTCTTGAAGTGTTGTATGTGAAGGTATTTGATAAATTATCAAAACTCTATTCTTACTCTTATATGCATATCTCTTTTACTGGCTCTTTCCTCTTTCTGTGAAAATGCTCTTATTTTTTAAATCTCATAAAACAAAGAAAAGCCTCCTTTTAGCGCCCTTTTTTTCCCCCTCAGATACCCTCTGGGTCTACGGTAGTTTTCTTTTTTCATTTGGGATTCTTTCATTGCAAACAAACAAAAAACAAGCCTACATTAGCAGTCTCTAATTCTTCACCTTTAATTCAGTCCTAGCATTGAATTCACTCCTGGCATTTTTGGTTTACTGATGGCAACTCCAATGTCTCTGCAGGTTCCTTGGCATTTCACATTTTAACACTGCCACTCTTTCAAGGATTTGCTTGGTTTTTGTGATCCTGTATTTTTCTGTCTTTAACTTCATCTCTTCTTTCTTTCTAGTAACGTAGATGAAGTATTCCCTCAGTACTGTCCTTGGTTGTCCTCCTCTGCGCCTGTGAAGATTGTGGTTAGCTCTAGTGCATCTCCGTCTAAATCTAACCCTTCTTGTCCCATCTTCTATCTTCTGTTTTAGCCATTAGTTTTCCTGGATGTTCCACTGTGAATGTAGACACTTAGCATGTCCCCTATGAAATTTATCATCTTCTTTTCCTGCTCTGATTCTTTTGTTGCCTTTCTAGGATGTGGTACATACTTCTATTCTATTCTTTTCTGATTCCATTCCCTTTTAGGCCTGTTAGCTTTACGTCCTAACCTTTCTCCCCTTGTTCCCACTATTTCTGTCCCTTTCTCATGCTCTTTATCTTCTGTTTAGCTTGCTGAAGTTTCTCTCATTCTTATTTCAAATTAATGTTTCCTTAGTACTTTTAAGAACTTTCTATTAGGCTGAATAAAGTTCACACTTCTCGACTTGGCATATGTCTTTTATGTCCTGATCCTAGTTTATTGTTCTTTCCTCTCTTGCTGATCCTCCATTGTCCCATACAGATAATCATCTGAACTTTTACACCTGTTATATTTTCCTGGATTTTCCTTTTGTCTCGTCTTCTCATGCCCAAGTTCTTACAGATTCCCAAGGCCTAGCTCAGTCACCTTAAGTTGGTACTTCTGATTAAAAATAATTTATGTTTATCCAAACTCATATATTTTATTTTGTAAGAGATTAATAAGTCATAATATATTTTTATTTTTATCACTGTTACATTATGTACTTCTTTTGTACTTCTAGCTGTAAGACTGTTGGAGGTAGGACCTATGTCTGTTTAATCTTTGCCCATAGCTTCTAAGTACAATGCTGTGTACATATTAGATAACTTGTAAATTTTTGTCAAATTGTTACATATTAGAGGGTACATGTTAAAAAGGTCTTAAATTCCCTATGTGTAACATAGTAGAAATTGAGAAATTTTAAAAAATGTTTCTTTTATTCCTTACATTTTATACATACACATTTACATTCATACATGAAAATAAGGTAATAGGTACAGAGGAACTAATATAGTGTTGAATTTCAATATATGATTTAAAATGTCCAAAAAATTATGGCAAGAGTCAAATTAACTTTTTAAAATTTTATTTATTGGTTTGAGAGATTTGTTATTCTACTCATTTATGCATTCATTGGTTGCTTCTTACATGTGCCCTGACTGGAGATTGAACCTGCAACCTTGGCGTATTAGGATGACAGTCTGAGTTACCAGGCCAGGGCCTGAACTGTTTGTTTTTGAAGAAAGTCCTTTGATTCTGCTTTTCTAGCCAAATCAGCTGTTAGCTTCTCGGTGACTTGTACTATAACTTTTTCCCTAATGGGAAAAGTTTTTACTCTTGTATTTATAAAATTACTCTTCTTTAGGCATTTGAGTTTTAGGATCATATGCCTAAAGGAGAAATTATATTTTCCCCAAAATTAAAAGTAATACTTTGAAATACTATGAAGTTAGCATTATATAGCATTAAATTATACTTAGAAGTGATAAAAATCACTGAAGATCACCAATGAACGTAAAAGAGCTAGATGAGAAAATCTAGCAATGTAATATTTGCCTGATATCTAGACTTATGACAAATAGCAGTCTGTAAGGAGTATCACTGACTGCGTATGGGATTAGTTTTCCCACCCCCTCTTCCACCAGTATTTTTCCTTTCTGTTTTCTTTGTACCCTCTTCCATTAAAATTGGTGCAGGTGGTTAGTATAACTTTGTAATAAAGACAATCATAGCATGCTAGGCCACAATTGAGCAATTTTGTCTTCATATAGCCTGAAGACCAAGAATTGGCCCAGTCCAATCTTGCTTCAAGTGTTTAACCAATAATCATATTAATTGAAGAGTAATATCAAGAAAGATCCTGGAATTAACAAACCATTCTTGAATGGTCAGAATCCCTCAGGATTGGAATTAACAAACCATTAACAAAGATCCTGGAATTAACAAACCATTCTTGAATGGTCAGAACCCCTCATTACAGTTTTTGACTATAGCAAAATGCTCATCGTTTAGTAGTGAGCTATTTGTCAGAGGTTAGCCATAGTGTGTATTATTTGTGTGGACTGTTGGATAGAGGGATGATGCTATCAAGAGATAGTAAGGCCTAAATATTTCCACATGCCAGGAAAGGTTAAAGATGATCAAAATACTGTATCAATGTGAAGATCATAAAACCGCCTTAGGGCCTTAGACTTCACCGATACAAGTTCTCTGCCACTTGCTAGCATGGAACCATTGGCATGGCATTTAATCTCTCTGAGCCTCAATTTAGTAGTTTGTAATATATCAAAATAACATAACTCTGTATTTATTGTGATAATTTAATGAATTTTTCTAATTTTCTTAAGTTTCTGAATTGTGAATGTCTGTAAATTGAAGGATACAATCTGCCTACAGGTCAAAATATTTCCAATACATTGAATCTTAAATGCATTTCTGGGATTTAAAGATAACTTAATCTAGAACATACTATTTACAGATACAGAAATTGAAACCAAGTGAGATTAAATAATTTACCATCACCACATCGGTTGCAAGTGAAAAATGGAGAACTGAACTCGTCCTTTATGTTTTTTTTTGGGGGGGGGGG